GAGGAGCTGTATTTGCTGAAGCCAAGCTGTGAGCTCACAGCAAGGTCTGTTGTGGCTGGGATACAGTCAATTTCCTCGGTAATTTCCCAGTAACTCCTATAGTGCTGGGGCTTGGCTTCAGCAAGAGAAAATTACACTGACGTGCAAATTCCATTATGAGCACCGAATTACCCGGGCCCCACATCACACAAACCCGTTCCCAAGCTGAGGAAAGCAGAGTGTCTACAGAACGAGGAGCCCTTCTGCACTGAGGGCCTGGAAGCCAAAAGGCTGAGACACAACTTTTTGCAGAGGAATATCTGTTCAAGAGAGCCCCGACCTAATATAAACTCGGGTGCGCACCTCTCTGCCCTTCATTGAGCTCCCCGCGGGCTCTGATGGCAGGCAAGGGAATGAGGGAATTACAGGGGAGGAAATTAAAAAAAAAAATCCCAAACAAAACCCTTTTATGCATTAGTTCCCTTCAACACAACGGCAAACAGAAGGGCTTATGCACGCACCATAATGGCCCATAACAGGAATACGCAGAATGAAAAAGCCCTACAACCGCTGGAGCACTTCAATCCATGGAGCAGGTGACACCGGAACGCCTCCAGAAGGAGGGAGACACACCCAGGAGGGAAGCGGACTCGGGATTCCCTCACAACTCCGCCAGCATCCCTCCCTGCCCTCCCAGGCCGAGCGCCGGGAAGCGCCGCGTAAAGGCCGGGTAAAGTGGGGTAAAATCGGGTAAACAGCGGGTAAAGCCCCGCGGGGACTCACCCGCTCCTCGTCCATGTCTGCGGGAACGCGCTCTGAGGGAACGCGCTCTGAGGGAACGCGCGCTGAGGGAACGCGCGCCCCGCCCCGCCCCGCGCGCACCGGGCCTGCGCGCGCCTGCGCGCCCGCCGCCGCCCCCTACGCCGCGGGTTCGAGTCCCGGCTCCGCCGCACCGCTCCGTTCGCCCTGAGAAAACATCTCGTCAACCCATCCCGATGGCTCCAATCCATATAAATACCTCCAGAACTTCCAGCTCAGTTTTTCCTCTGAGGATGGCGGGGTACTGCTCGGCTCACCCACCAGATTTCTCTGGGTCTCCTCCAGCAAGTCTTTGTCGGAGAAGCTACTTCTGACCTGGGGTCTCGGTGACTGCTGTGTAACAGGACAATACTGAGACTTTGTGGGCGTTTATTCTTTTCCTTACTTGTTATTTTCGTTTTAAAAGGAAATAAAAATAGAGCGGATGCATCCAACAATGTATTCTTCGTGTCCAATAGCATGGATTTTAATGGGGAGGCATAATTGTGCAACCGAAGGAATAATGATGCTTAAGTGCAGGGAATTATTTAGAGGTGAACGAGAAAAAATTCGTGGAGAACTATTAAACACAGGAAACAATGATAGTCAGCTGTGCAAGAAATTACTGTGCAATGCAACTTACCTGTGCGCAGCACTTGAAATGCTCGTGCCCTAGGTGACCAAGAACTTAGGAAGTTGTCTAGGAGACCCTCTGACGTACTACACATCTATAATGCAGTCTTTCTGTGTGGAAGGCTGCCTCTCTGAAGACATTCAAACCCCATCCTAGCTGCTCTGAAGAAAATTAACTCTACCCCAGCCGAACCCAGGTGATACGTGCTGGTGGGTGGCAGGGTGCACCTTGCAGGACACAAGGTCCCTAAAGCTCCTTCACAGCAAGGATTAGTTTCTGTCCTCTTAATGGGCTCAAGAACTCCTAATCCCGGTTTTGTGCTGCTGGCTGGCTTGCCCTCCTCACAGAGCTTCCCCAGGGAGGAGAGGCGGCTGGGGGAGCGCCTGCCACCTTGCCTGGCTGGAAAAATGTTTGGCCAGTGGCTGCCAATGCCCAGCTGATGACACTGTGTCCCAGGCAGGCTGCCCAGCCAGAGGAGAAGGCAATTCACCCGTGCCTGGCTGGAAAAGCCAACATTCCTTTTCTGGCCAAATGGCTTTTCTCTGGCATTTATATGTAATAGTGTTTTTACCCGATCCTCCTGGGGGCGTGACTCCTTCTGAAGTTGGCTGCAGTTTTGCCCAGACCAATAGAAGTGGTTGGGCCCATCTGAACAGATTTGTCAAGGGTCGGAGGGGCAAAGACAAGCCAGAGAGATGGAGGGCTTGAATTTGCCAGCACTTGTGCTGGCTTTGACATGGTCTGCACCATCGCAGGGCTTCTGCCACATCACCACAAGACCTGAGTCTAGGTTTTGCCTTGAATGAAATGTAGACAAGTGCTGCTTCTATTTATTGTTGTCTTGTTGTCTTCTTTTGTTGTCTTGTGGAGAATGCAGTGCTAACAAGGGACTTTGCATCTTCCACTTTAATGCTACTTAAAAGTGAAGTTCAAACCCACCCTACATAAGAGTCTTGGTTTAAGTAATTTTAAGGTGATATGGTTAAAAGTCCTTAAAAGTGCATTCCTTCCCTCCACTTTGCTTGCTGAAGGGGTCAGAGCCAAGAGCAGTTGAAAATCCCACAAAGACATTTCACAGGTAGTGGCACCCCTGGTTTCCTCCACAGAGAAAGGAGTTGCAGCACAGATGTGCAAGGAAATAGCAAAACACCCACTTTAACTGCTGCCAGCAGAAAGCAAGGAGATTAAAGCTTTAAATTGCAGCAGAATTTCTTGGTCATCAACTGATCATGCAAAAAGCAGGGCAGTTATTTCAATATGCTTCACCATCAGAGCAAGCCAGAGTCGGAGACAGCTTCCGTTCTTTTTTCCTTTCTCTGATTCTGATGTTTAATCTGTGAGACAGATTTTATATCCAGCTTGGCAAATGACAGAGAGAAAGAGAGAGGGGTGGAAAGGTGAGGAACTTTGTCCCAGGTTTCAGAAGCAGAGTTGGGGTGTGCAGCCATGGCTGTGTGACACCTCAGGTGTGAGATGGAGGAGAAGTGACATGGAGGGAAGGCCTGGGTGGAGGAGAGGTGTGGCTCATACACATCGTGCAAGGATGGGGATCATACACATTGCGTTACCTGCATGCAGGGAGCACTGGGTCACACAGCTTAGCTCACTTAGAACAGAGCTGTCATCAGCAGGATCTGGTCCAGAAAATGCCTTTGTCTGGGGACTGACTGTTTTTTCTGTCACAAGCTCTCAGGAAACTAACTGGTTTGTTAGAGCCAAACCAGCCCTTTGCTGGTTTGTTAGAGGCCTAGAACAGCTGTAAAATAGAGCAGTGTGCTCCGGGAGGGAAACCAGAGGGAAGAAAAAAAAGTGTCACCATTTCCTTTTAGAGAGCTGCACTCAGTATCCAGCTGGAACAGTGGGAGCACCACTGCTGTGCTTTGGGGTTTCCAAATCCAGGAGCTGCTGTGTATCCATGCATGCTGTGGGAACCAGTTTTACACTGCCAGGACATTGAATTTGATTCCCTAATGAGCTCTCAGCTGCTATCAAGATCCAGCAATCCCAGAAAACTCAATTTTGCAAGGATCTGCAGAGAAATGGGCAGGTCTGGTTTGGTTTCCTGATCATGCCTTGGGTAAAGAGCAGGCCAGGAGTGTCTCAGAATAAGTATGCATCAACACACACAAAGTTGAAGCAAATGCAATTATGTATGGAGGATTTTGCAGAGCTGAGACTAACACTGGGTCACTTCAGGTCCATGAGGGAAGCTGTGGGCAGCCTAAAACCTTTGCAGGTGGCTCTTACAACCGTGCCCTCCTGGCTGTGCTGGGACAAGGGTACCACACAGAAAGTTTGCTCTTCAGCACTGGCAGGATCACAGCATCCTGCAGAGAAATGCCTCTTGCTGGCAGCCCACGATGAAAATTGCTTCCTGGCTTCTTTGTGACACTGCTCAAATTCCCAGTGAGTTTCAGGGAATATGCATTTACTGTCATGCTGTTTCCATGTCAACGTTACTCAGCAGTGTGTTTAAAATGTGGTTATGATGAAGCATTATTATACTTATGGGTTTTACTTGCTATTCAGCCATGTATTTCACAGCCACAATGGTGTATATATAATCTATAATATATATAATAATATATATATATAAAATAACATATAAATGGATAATATCAGTATAGATTATATTACCCATTACTCGTGGTGTTAAACACTTCTCTGTAATGAAAAATTACTTAGTGATATAATGTTATTATATTATAAAATTATTATATAAAATATTATTAAAATAATAATATTATCTCACTATAAAATTAGTGATATAATATTATTATTTCATGGTAGCTGGGGAGCACCAAAGCCCACTGAAGCTTTCTGTAGAGACTCCTGGAGGATAAGTCAGGCTTAGTGTTTTGTTACTATGACATAGACCCAAAGCAAAGCATGTACCACGGATACTGGGGGGCTCTACTGAACCTGTAGACCAGAAGGCCAACCTTTTAGCATTTCAAGGGAAATGTAAAAGATATCAACAATTAAATAAATAGTCCTTCATAATTATGAGTGAGGGAATGTCCTGTGTGACAGTCAAGCTGTTGTGGCTGTCACAAGAGTTTATGGAATGTTAATTTGCTCAGATACTATATTTTTTTCCACCCCGCTGTATTTTAACAGGTCATCAGAAATTGTGTCTCAGAATTTGAGGGGTTAATGCTCCTGAGTGCCATGATAAGCCCTGACCCCCACTTTGGGGCTGCCACAGTTCTGTAAGTCCTACTGAGCCCAGGCTCCCCTCGGGAATGGGTGTCCCAGTCCTAGGGGTGCTGCAAAGTTTAAGAGAACCCCTAAGAAAAGACAGCGTCCTGCCTGGGGGTGTCCCACAGCCACCCAGGTGTCCCAGGGCTCCTGCCAAGCCCAGCGTGCCCAGGAAAAAGCGTCCTACGAGGGTCCGGGGCCACACTGCTGCCACCCCAAGGGGCCAACACTTGGCCCTGCCACCATCACGCCCCAGCATCGCCCCAGCCCTGTCCCCTGCCAGCAGCTGTTCCCGTCCCTAAACCCCAGACTCCTCCAGCCCCGGATCGGAGGCTCCCACCCCTGCAGCGCCCTGGTGCGGGCAGAGAGAGCTCAGGAGCCGCGTTTCTTCTCCTGCAATGGGAGTTTATTAACAACGACTGGTACAAACGGTCCTAACAGCAGCGAAACGCAAAAAAATATTCATAACAATAAACAAGCAAAAAATAATCATCCCAATAAGCAAAACTTCATAACAAGGGACAAGAATTATTCCTAGCGATAAACAAAGGCCAGCCCAATCCTAGCCCTAAATACCACCCAAAATCCATCCGAACTAACCAGCCCAAGGCGAGGCGCATCCCCGGCCAAGGCAGCCCTTCCTGCGGCCCCAGCTCCGGCCTTCCCCCCGCTCCCCCGAGCGCTCACAGGTCCCGGCCGCGCACGAAAAGCGCCCGCCGGCCGCGCCGGCTCTGCTCGCGGAACCTGCGCAGCTCCTCCCTGAAAGCCGGGTCCTCCATGGGCCGATAGTCCCGGGGCTCGCAGTGGCCCTGCAAGCCACGGCTCCGTCAGCCCCCCCAGCGCAACCCCCGGCCCATGGCACCCATCCCGGGCCAAAGCCAGCGCCCCCGGCCCGGAGATGCCCTCCCATGGCAGGGAAGGGGCTCAGAGCCAGCGCCGCCCCTCCCCACTGCCCTGCGCCCCCCGCCCCAGTTCCTCCTGGGGACACCGCGGGGACACCGGCAGGGCACTCACCGGGAACTGGGAGAAGAACTCGCGGTACCCCCCCTTCAAGACGTAGAGCTCGGGGTAGTGCAGCTGCGGGTAGCTGTGGCAGGAGCGATCCCTCTCCCGCAGGAATTTGCACCTGTGGCCGGGCAAAGCCCACAGCATCAGCCCTGCCCGGGGGGCTGGCACACCCCTGTGTGCCCCCCGTGCCCTCACTCACATTTTGGGCCCCCGCTCAACAGAGAACTCGCAGTGGAAGATGACGATCACCCTCTTGCCGGCGTCCTGGGCCACGATGGGCAGCTCCAGCAGGGATTCCTCCACGTCCCGCTGCAGCGGCAGGTTGACAGCGCCCTGGGTGGGGGGGACACAGGCGCCTTTTTCCCCCTCTGCCTCCACTTTCGTTTTCTGCAGGGACCCAAGGACGCTGCCCCTCCCGTCCCGTCCCCCCCACCATCATGCTTCCCTTTCGAACTGGGAATCAATCCTTTAGCAGGTTACCATGGTGTTTTTCAGGGGCTGCTCCACCCCTTGGGGCGGCTCTGGACCCTTCATGGGGGGCTGCTCAACCCCTCCTGAGGGGCTCTGGTGGGGCTGCTTCACTTCTGAGAGTATCTTTGGAGTCGCCGCTTTATCTCTCGGACGCCACTCAAGAGAATCCCGGGGTATCCTGAATCCTCCGCGCCTGGCGGGGATACGCTCAGCCTCTGGTGGTGAGCTCGGCACCTCTGGCGCTGCGTGGGGCTCGGACACCTCCCTTCCCTCCCGGCCCCGGGGGAGCTCTGACCTTGATGTGGCCGCACTGGTACTCGTAGGGGTACCGGCAGTCCACGACCACGCTGCGCTCGATGAAGCTGCTGTAGCGCCCCGTCAGCACCTTCTCCAGCTGCGGGGGGAGCGCGTCACCAAGGGGGGACACACGGGGCCCGGGGTGGGGAACAGGAACGCAGCCCCTCGAGGGGGCTGCGGAAGGATCGCTCTCCCCTTACCGTGTCAGGAGAGATGTACTTCAGGCTCGGGTCCTGCCCCTCCACCGTCGGCAGGAGGTAAGGCTGGAGGAGACACGTCTTGGGCTCATCGCCGTCCCAGGGGCAGCTGTCCCCCCAGCCCAGGAGCCCCCGCTGGCCGGTTCTGCAGCCCCGGGCGGGGAAGGGGCATGTGCCACATACACGTGGCACGGGCACGGAGCAGAGACTGGGCTCTTCACCCGCTGCAGGCTGGCAAGTCACAGCCCCAAGGTCCCGTGTCCCCAAGCAAGGGCCACCAGCTCGCTTTGGGCTCTCTTTGGCGGCACTGTGGGGCTCCGATGGTAGTCCCTGCTCAGAATAACGGGGGCAGCGCCCCCAGAGCTGCCCCATCCTCGTGGCCCTACCTTGGAGAAGTCCCCAGTGAGCTCCTGGTTATCGTTGGCCAGCAGGTTCTCGATCTCCTGGAGCTGGGCAGACCCGCAAGGCTCCCGCCACACTCCCTGCAGAGGCACCAGCCAAGACACCCGCAGATGTCAGCAGGGGCTCTGGCACAGCCGGACAGTGGCCCGGTCCTGCCAGGGACAGGCTGGCTCTTCCCCGACACCTTCCCCATCACCCACCGGCTCCAGGGATGCCTTCTGCTGAGGGCTGCCGGCCACACTCCTCTGCCGCTTGGCCTCGGTAGGGCCGTCCCTGTCCGAGGGCAATCTCCGCTTCGGGACGGGCCCGGGGACACTGCCGGGCACCGAGGGCGTGCGGAAGAGCTGCCGGCACTCGTCCGGCTTCCCCGGATGCTGTGGAAAGAGCCCGCGCTGTTGCCTGGGGGTCTGGCAGGGCTGGTGCTGTTCACCAAGCAGTCCTTCGGCCCCAGACCCCTCTTCGGAGACGCCGAGAAGGGACTGTGGGGCTCCATCCACTGCCAAAGGTGGCCACGTACCAGCATTGCCTTCTCCTTCTCTATCACTGGCGTGGCCACCAGCGTCTCCATTCCCTGGATCATTCCCTGGGTGGAATCACTCTGCCACGGCAGCACCTGGGGAGACTCGGGGGAGAGGCAGAGGAGATCGTGAAGGGGACAAGTCCTGTCAGCTGCTTCCCACCCCCAGACAGGGACGAATCCCGTACCCAAGGTCCATCCACCTCTAAGTTCCTTGGAGGTTTGGAGTCACAGTGTGCTCCCCAGCCCGCCCATCTCCCACATGCTCCCGCGGAGGCTGGAGCTGCCACTTGCTCATCTATCCATAGCTCCCCTGGAGTGCTGCAGCCTCTCTCACCGGCTCCGTGGGCTGCGAGCAGACCGAGTCCCGGGAAGCCACCGGCTGCGGGGCCAGTGAGTGCCAGAGCCGCGGGAGGGGCGGCCCCCCGTGCCGCCTCCTCGGGGTGTCCCGGTGCCTGCGGGCGATCGGGTCGGGTCAGTGCCCCGGGTGCCCCGAGCCCCTTGTTGCCCTGGCGGGTCGGGGGCCGGAGCTGAAGGAGGGCATCCCAAAAGGCACGGCCCCACACGGCCGTGTCCCGTGCGAGGAATCTCACGTGGGGCGGGCGGACAAAGCCAGCGCGGCCCCCCGGGCACCCCCTCACCTGTCCGGGCCCGCCGGCTCAGTCCTATCCAGCGCCAGCGGTGTGAGCGGGGCCGTGCCCGGGGACGCCAGCGGGGACACGGCCACCAGCCCGGGCAGCCCGCGGCCGCCGCGCAGGAACATGGCCCGGGCAGGCACCGAGCGAGCGAGGATCGAGCCGCGGCAATGACCGGGCTTAGAGGACAAGAGGTGACAAGAAGTGAAAAGACATGACGGCTGAGAGGCAGGAGTTGGTAAGAGGCGATAAGGGGCAATAAAAGGTGACCAGGGGTGACCAGAGGTGACCAGCGATGACCCAGCGGTGACAGGTCACACCGGCACTCTCCTGCTCTCAGCAGTAACAACTGCGGCACCTGCAGCCAATGGGAGACCGCGGCGGGCACGAGGGGACGCCGCCAGCCAATGGGAGGCCGCGGCGGGCGCTTGGGGGCGGAGCCAAAGGGGAGTGGGCGTGGCCGGACCGTGTCCCTGAGGGGATGCTCGGCCGGCCCTCACGGCTGTCGTGTGCCGCCTACAAAACAATGAAAGCGTGCCCGGACAGCTCCCACCCAGTGCCACGGCCGGCCGCAGGAAAGCAAGGCTGAAATCCCAGAGGTTGGGTTTTCATTGGTGGAGTTTCTGCTTTTATAGGAGCTTGTGAGTGGCCTACTCCATTTACCTGCTGGAAGCTCTTATTCCTGTATTAAACATAACCAAAATTCCTTAATTGCCACTTTTGCTTAAGGGCACTTGATTTCTTTGCTCTTGCTGTTGAATCCCTGGTGTTTTATTTCCTGTATGGTTCCTCATGGATATGCCCAAACAGTTGGAAAAATCATCATCTAGAACTAATCCCAAGCATTTGATTTGACTATGCCTCCCTTTTCTCCCACCTGGAGATGAAACCTGCCCGAGGAGTCCAAACCCACTCCATGGGTGTTTGGAAGGCACCCTGTTGCACTGCTGAGACCCAGCAGCTCTGACACAACCCTGCAGAAAGCACCTCCTGCTCACGGCAAATTCCATGTATTTCTTAATATATGCATATATTTATATCTAAATTAGGAATTCTGAGAAAGCTCTGTGTCATGCTAGTGACATTTTATGCTATTCAAGTATAGTCAGCTGCTGCTTTTAAAACATTTTAAGAGCCTAATGGAGAATCTGACGAAAACTCAAATTGCAGGTGATTTCGGATCAAGGCTTTTTTTTTTGTCCCCTTTTGTGCAGTCATTTCTTTTGTGACAAGTAAATGGCATTTCTGCTTTTTGCTTTTAACTGCTCAGTCCTGAGGGCAAAATTAGGTGGTCTTCCTGGTACCCCAGAAGCCCCCTTATTATTCCCTCCCCACCTTTAATTTTAGATGTGGTCGTTCTCCCAGATGCACTGCAGCCCTCCTACAGAAGAGATGGGATCTCACACACAGGCATTTCAGGACCTGCTGGTTAATCTGGGCACAATAAATTTCGGTGATTTACATCTTGCTCTTCCAGCTGCCTTTCAGCACAGCAGCAGTCCACAAGTTAGATTTGCTCTTGGTCAACTACGATGCAGCTTTGAAATACAAAGGAAAAGGGGCAAAAAAAATAATATATATATATATAGCAGGGTCTCAATGAGCTTGTGGAGACCTTCGTGGAGTGTCACCAACATATAAAGAAAGAGGGATTGGGCACTGGAAGTTGCTGCCCAGGGAGGTGGTAGAGTCACTGTTGCAGGAGGTGTTTCAGAAAGGCTGGATGTTGCACCAAGTGACATGCTCTGGTTGACAAGGTGGTATTCAGTCACAGCTTGGACCTGATGATCTCAAAGGTCTTTCCCAACCTAGCTGATTCTGCAATTCTGTATTTTGCAGTGTTTTTTTTTTTGAAAATGTGAGATTCAATTTTAATAAGCCAACATTTGTGGTGTTTTTTTTCTTTATTTCTAGGCTTTCTTCTGCCTGACAGCAGCAGTGCTAAATGAAAAGCCAGGAAGGGCACAGTGCATCCTTAAAAACTTTATTGGAGTGGCACGGTGCAGACTGCAAGTACAGTCACGAGTCTAAATATCCCCAACTTCAGTCCCTGGGCCATCCCTGCCCGCAGACCCTGGGCTTTGCTGCCAGCAGCCTCCCTTGGCCAGCCCAGAGCAGAGCTGGACACGTGTCAGGAGGTGCAGAAGGACATCCTGACCCCCACGGCAGCCCAGGGCTGCGGCAGCCGACCCGTGAGAGGCGCCTGGCCGTGCCTGACCTCGCAGGGAACAGGAGAAACGGGGCTTTGCTCCCTGCAGCAACACCTTCAACCCCATCCCTGCGCTCCCTGCTGGAGTGCCAGGAACAGAAGGACCAGAAACAGTGCAAAATAAGGTAAAAAGGAGCCCGCCCCTGGACCTGAGCTTTGATCTTGCTGAGCTTGTTTCCCTCCTTTCCTTCCCCACCCTTTGTGTTGGTAGCTGTTACATTTTTAATCTGTCCAGTCCAGGAGACTCCTGAAATTATGAGAGAACAGTACAGATACAATTGGAAATAATGGTAATAATAATAATAAAAAAAAAAAGTCCTGCCCTAGTGTGTTTTAACTACTGCTAAAGGCAGCATCCCAAATACCTGCTTGATGTCCAGACGTGCTGGAAGAAGCAGCTCATCCCCATTTTCTCACTCTTTAGCCACCCCACAGCTGGCCTGTAGCTTCCCACCAGGAACTGGCCTGAGCAGAAGGCTGCACAGCCCAGCTGAGGGTAACTAAAGCTCACTATATTCCAGAATACTTAATGCATCCACTGCAACGTTAAAAAATGCTAGCACATATGAACTCTTCAGAGATTTACAGGCACTATGTGAAGATTATGTGCAAAAATCTGCAGATATATTTTTCTTTTTTTTTTTTTTTTTTCTTTTGCATAGCTCTTCATTGATGCAATATATTTCCTGCAAATAGAAAGCATTCTTTCCCCCTGAATGCTGAAGGAAATTGCAAAAATGTCAGACTGTGAGTCTTAATAAAGTGAATTGCTGGGGGAAAGAAACAAACCTGAGATTACTACTGGGAGAAAAGAAAAGATGAGAAAATGTCCAGCAAGTATCAGTGTACAAAAACCACCCAGAATAACTATATGCTTTTGGCATCAGCTTTTGTTCTTCAAGAACAATCATCCACCCACAGGAAGAAGACATTTTACATGATGCAGCAGGATCCTGGGACAGGGGGAGAAAACAAAACAAAAAAATAATGTCAGAGTGCTTATCTTCCATTAATTGGAAATAAAACTCACAACATAAATCTGGGAAGAATTATGGGAACTAAACCTCCACATGGGTCCAGAGCAGAGGTAATGACACAAGGTCAGTGTCCTAAAGATCATAACCCCTCATTGAGATGTGCTTGATCCTCATTACTCTGTGAGAATGTCTTTGGGAAGCAGCACTTCACACCTTGGAAAGCTTGGAATTGCACCAGCCTAAAGGAGTTTAGCCACACGCAGTAGTTCTGTACAAGCTGAATGGATAAAGGTTTCCTGCCTGGGAACCCTGAAGTGCAAAGTCATCCCAAGCATTTTGATTTAGCAGCAGTTTTAACCATGTCCTGGTTTGGTTCAAGGACTGCTAGCAAAACTCATCTTTAATTCACAGCGTGGAATTGTCTTTGTGGTAGCCCAGGGAACAGGGAAGACAAAATCTCACCTGGTAAGGTTAACGTTTAGCTTGTTTTCTGCTTCTCAGATTTGCTGCTGGAGGACTGTCCCTTTGCCTAAAGAGGGGATAAGACAATGAGAAACTGAACCAAGCTAAAACCTGAAATCAGGCAGTGACAAGACACTCGTCAGAATCACAGTTCAGACATAAATACAGTCTGCACCTGAAATACAGATAGTTTAGCAAGAGTATTTGTGACTCCTGCTGTGTACAAATATTTTCACCTTTTCACCATCAACTGCTTTCTTTCAGGCAGAGTGGATTATGTCTGACCTCATCATTCCCTGTTCCTAAACACCCTTTTACCCACAGCAGTGATCAGGCTACAGCTTAGAACATCCTCCTGAAGAGGAGATAAAGACACCCCTCAGTTTTACACTGAGTCAAGTTCTGTGGTCTCACAAAAAGCACCTGTGGTGATTTGATAATAACAACAAGCAGAAATCCCATCACTGACATGTGGAATGTAAAATTCCCAGAGCAGATGTAATCATCTGATTCGGGCATCTACTGCACGTATCCTCTGTGAGGAAAACATGATGGAACAAGCTTCACCCTGACCTGAATAAATTTTCTCTACTTCTGGATAAAAAAAAAGCCAAGCAACCCTTCTTACCTTCCTGTTCTCCCCACTTTTTTTGAATACAGAAACAGCTGCCTGCCTTTCCACACCATGCTCATTCATACTTTTTTATGAAAGTATGTAGGCCTTCATTAATTTTAAAAAATTAATTTATGATAATAACTTGGGAACCTGGCTGTGGTTGTAGGAGCACTTTTTAATCACTTCTCGGATGCTGTTACTCAAAACTGTCAAGAAATGAGAGAAGTTGTGGGGATCCTGCCTGAAGCAGGCAAAGTAGAACCCTTAGATCTACAAATCTGGGAAGGAGAACCTGAGGAGCATGTACTGAGGCCCCCCCTCAGAGAACAACACTCTGAAAGACACATCGTTTTTTTTGCCCCTGTTTATTTCCAGTTCCTCTTGACATAGAAAGGGGCCTTTTTCGTATGTTCATATTTACAAAAATGGATCAAATTCAACATATTGATGTAAAACTCCCCCCACAATAACAACCCTGGAATATAAGTCCAGAATCCAGCTGCCCCTCTTGTATGACTGCCCATACCATAATAAACGTGTTTGTACCGTTTTAGGGTCTCTGGGCTTTCCTTTATCCTTTGAGCTTGTCTTAGTGGTCGTAGATTCCTTTCCACTTTTGTCCTACACTCCAAAGAAAAAAAAAATTACAGTTACAAGGAGAATAGAGCACTGGTGGCTCCTGCTTTGACATCTGCCAAAAGAGTCTTTTTAATAGGTCTGGCGGCAACATGGGCCATCCTGACAGGAGACTACATCAGAAAAAAAACCTGGAAGAGATGGGCAGACTTTGTATTTACTACCAGCAATAATGCTGCAACAACAGATTTAGCTCTGTATTTCAAGAGCAGATGAAGCAGCACTTGAAATACCAGTTGTCCTGTCTTCAGCTGCCGGAGGGTTTTGTGCTGAGGGAAGCCCCTGGGGGGCACTGCAGTGGCCAGAAGAGCTGTTTGGAGACAGCTCTTTCCTCCAGGAATACAGCTGATTTGAACCTCAAGTTTCAAAGTGGTTGCTCCTTTTCTCAATTGCAGGACCTCTCCAGTCCATTCCTTCTCCCTTCTTCTTGTCAACTCTACGTTTTCCCTAGC